AAAAGTAAAGGAAAAGAGAAAAAAAAAAAAAAGAAAAAGGCAAGCACTTCCAAACCAGAGTTCTCTGTTTCGTCTGAAAGAGCTAGTGTCGGTAAAAAGTAAAGATTTTGTTGAACTTTGCACACCAAACACACAAGAGCTTGCAAGTAAAATCCAATAAGAGAGAACTCAATTTGTTTGCATTGACTCTGCATGGTATTTGTCCAAATCTGCATCAAGATCCTCGGCAGATATTTTCTCACCACGGCTCTTTCCAAGTCCACGGCCACCCCTTCCAAATCCACGACCTCGTCCGCCACCACGTGGTCTTCCGAAACCACCTCTGCCTTGTCTGCTGTTCCAAATAACAACTAATGATGTTAGATAAAGAATCATACTATCCAGTGAATCATTCAAGTCTTGCTTTATTTAGGATTGCACAACTTGACAAAGCTTATGAAACTATAATCAGATCCTCTATTGTGTTTGCTTGTCGAACAATTATAGATGTCACTGTACATTCATAACTGTTTTTCGCTTTTTCCAAATGCATAAGACAACTACACGACTCAAGCTAGGCTTCATTAAGTCAATGCATTAATTCTACTTTCCCTTTTTGTTTTCAATATCACCATACAGATCCTGGAAGCATCATATACGATAGCTCCTCACGTTCAAAGTACATAATAAACAAATTGACACAAAGTTCAATCAAATTTGATTTGTTTGGGTTTCAAAAAAGTAAAAAGAGTGTCGGTGCATCTTCCACATCAATCCTAAAGAAAACTGAACTGTAGTAACTGCAGATGCAACATATATACAGAGAGAGAAAGAGAGAGAGAGAGAGAGAGAGAGAGAGAGAGAGAACAAACACATGTATTTACAAACAGGAAAAATGACAAATTGAATCGAAGTTGATGTGTTCAGAATAATCATGAGACACAGGATATGAAGACCTGAACTTTAAAGTAAATTTAAACAAGTGATTGACTAATGTCCCGGTATGCTATTGGTCATCTATAGACATTCTAACGGACAAAACATGGAAACAATTAACAAATATAATGTCCAAAATTTTCAACTTCTGGATACATGTAACCAATATGGCCGTTTAACTATTACGTTTTCAAACCAATTATAGTTGGTACAAAAACAAAATACCATGTTCAGTTGCTGCTATATATGTAAATGATTGCACATCAACAGTCACCATGTAAATGGTTAGGCACATCATTCTACAATACCTCAACCCCTTTTTGAGAATTGTTACATCTTCTAAATTGATTTAGTGGATCCAGACATGTAAGTAACTGTAGTGTATTAGCTCTGCACACAAAATGTGTTTTAAGGTTTTTGCTTGAACAATCTTGTTAAGTAAATTATCAATTACTGGGCCAAAGGTTTTACATTTTGTTCAATAGAGGAAGCTCTCAGCTTATTCATG